TTTCCGAAAACGCTCGAGGCTTTGTTCTCCTGAAATTTATCTCTAGCTGGATAGTGCCATCACTGGAGATAATGGAACCGAGGTACGCGAATTGGCGAATCTCCTGACGCCTTCACCTCCCTGTCGCACATATAAATCTGCGGATATGCCGGATATGTTCCTCGTAGCTTTTGACTTTTGACTCAGCATTAACGACGATGCCAGCTTTCGCAGCTGTGTTGCATGCGGAAGCCTCAGGTGACAGATCCTCTTCACACACCACTCACCACAGCAGTGTGAGTTGCCTACCGAAGTCAGCAAAACAACTAGCCGTTTATCTTCAGCTGCGCCTACGTCTTTGTCAGGGTCGGCACCGTTTCGGATAAGAAAGTCGAGGACAATGTTGAATAGCAAAGGCGAGAGCACATCTCCCCGATGAACCTTACAGTCAATAGGGAACCACTGACACTGCTGTCCTTCGACTTTAACGGCGGACATGGTTCCTGCATGCTTCTCTTCCACGATGAAAATGATGTGTTCAGGTGTCCTATCCCATTGCCACATCATCGTTGCGAGGCGTTTCGAATCAGGTGCAGCCTCGAAGTCGAGCAAAGATTGTGCTCCATAGTGAAGAATCAAGTGCTCCAATTTTACTTATGATTGTGAAGGCCTGTCTGTCGACGAAACATAGCACAGTTACGTTTTGCATGGATGATCTTCTTTTAACTAGGGCCTTTCGCCAACCAGTTACGCATCTCGAGCACTTCGATATCGCCTCAGATTGCACCGGCCTTCCGATTCGAAATAAACCCATGTTTCGTCGTAACTGAGCATGAGCCATCATAAGGCTTTGTCGATCAACTGAGGACATATCCAACATTTCGCAGTACATTTCAGTTTTCTGCCCATTTTCGTCCATCTTAATCCAGCCTTCTTGATCACCTCATTCTGCCATCGATCTGGAGGACGTTTACTGTCTCTTGGAGAGTGATTTCGTTCATATCTGACTGGTCCAGCGACTGTCAGTTCTGCTGAAAACGTGTCTTGCCCATTACCACGTTCACATCTTCATTTGGGCCATGATATAGCATATTACTGTTCGTTGTGCTCCTATCCATTCGTTTGTCTACGGGTCTTTTCTAGTTATTCCCAACATGCATTTCTGCATGCTGTGTTGTACAGTAGGCAGTTTAGAATTACTTTCAGACGTAGGGTTCACGATTCACACCCACAGGGAATCCACGCCGATCGAATACCTTCCATTTCAGGCATAAAAGCAATTAGCATAACCAAGCATGTTTGGTACTACCGTCGACTGCAAGCGTGATCGGTAGGAAGGTATTCATGTGAATTTGCTATCGTACTGTGGAGATGAATTTCAGGACCAATCTCAGTTTCTATACGTCCATTTGGCGGAGGAAAAAGAAACATATTTGTGTGGTACATGCAACCAGAGGCACGCCGCAGACTCGGCAAAACAACGCGATGATTACCGCGTGATGCTGATTCCAAATTAGGCGCCGTCAATCTTGACTGCCTTATTTGTAAAGGCAGAATCAGCTGCCGCGTGACAAGGATCTCGTGAGTTTGTCTCTTGAGCAGGTGCACTTGTTTATCTACCTGAGAAACATGGAAAGCGAGTGATCAAGACTGAATGTCTGAACCGGCATTCTTTTCGTTT